GGGACTGGACTGCTGCTGGCTGATTTTTCAGAAAGATTCCCAGACCTTTCTCTTTGGTCTTCCTTGGTCTAGAAGCACCTCCAGCTTGGACAGCATCATAGGAATATGCAAACCATGACTGGCAGGCTGCAGTCAGGCCTGATGCATTAATCCCAGCCAGGTCTCTGGGAGAAGCAGAAAATTTTACAGCTCAAGCACCAGGGCTTCATATTTAAAGGTACACTTGCTACCAAATCTACCTCAGTCTTTGACATAATGGAAAGACTAAAAAGGTATTTCTCTCTTGATTGCTGAATGTCCTTTGGTGATTTGTCTGTTTATCACCTACTGTATTATGTGTCTAACTATGTTGTGTATTATTATGTTGTGTATTATTGCTGAAATCACACGTACAGACCTAGTATCTACTGCTTATCAGAGTTGTTGTTGTTGTTATGTGCCCTCGAGTCGCCTGCGACTCATAGTGACCTATGTACAACAGCCCTAAACTCTGCTCTGTCCTGTGCCAATTTCACCACCTCCAATACACCCATCCTGATTACCCCAATCACTGAATCAATCCACCTCATAGAGGGCCTTCCCCTCCTGCGCTGAACCTCAAAATTTGAAATGTTCTTTTCTTGTATATGAGCATAATAAGGCATTCCTGATTATGTAAACTATGAGGAAAGATTACGACAGAATATTGAACTTCACTTACTCATTGGTGTCAAGTTGGAATCAACTCGTAGCGGACGCTCATTGGGGTAAATTACACAAGAGGAAGTGACCTATATTTTTCCGACAGAAAGGCTGGTGTGTTCACACTGCCAGAGAGCTGCAGACTTTGGGTTAATAGCACAACTTCCTGCAAACTGTCCCACCTGAATTCCCTTACCTAAGATTACAGCAGGAAATATCAGTTAATGTAGAATAAAGTAATTATTCTAGCCCACGTATAAATTGTATAACCTTTTTTACATTTTAGGAGATTAGGCACATTTTAGAAATCTGCCCCATTTGTCTTTGAATCTTCGTGACATTGTTAATGTTTCTGCTTACAGTTTATAAACTAATATTTTCTTAATCCAGAAGAAGTGACATTTATCTATCAAGGAAATTCCCTTGAAATTGGAGACAAGGAACATCTTACTTTATCTTATAGTTTGGACCCAGAAACCAGTCTTCATGAGCCTCAGAGTTAAGCAGTTAGTTATTTTTGTTGTGCTTTTAAAAATTGAGTAACTTTATAGTAACAAAATGTCCAATTTTATTTTCGTTTCCTTGTACTGTTGTAGCAGAAACACTGTATTTATGTGTCATCATCCTTGTTGCTGAGTTGGAACATCTTGTAGCTAGCTGACTCCTCCCTGGGTTTTCAGAGGCTGTAAATCTTGTGGGTGGAGACTGCCCACCTTTTCCTGTGGAGCACCTGGTGAATTTGAATGGTTTATCTTTGGACAGGCAGTGTCTCCTTAACCACAAGGCTACTAAAGCTATCTTTTATAGATATGGCTCTGTCAGAACAGACCTACAGCTGACCCTCCAGCCAGTTTTCAGAAGCAGTAAATCGCATGGATGGAGACTGCCCATCCTTCTCCGCTATAGATTTATGTACACACTGAAAGTCCAAATACAAGGCTGTAGATCATCCTATATTTATCTGTAGAAAGAGATAGCTATTTATATATAAATTTCGTTTTCCTCTGAGTTCTAAAGTCTAGAAAGCCAAATTCAGGGCACGAGCTCTAGGTGCTGATTCTCTGTTGACTGGGGGGAATATCCATGCCTCTCCCAGCTTCCTCAGCCCCTTTTACATTTTCACGTGACGTGACATCTCTTCCCGTTTATGCTTGCCTCTCTCTATGCCTCATCTTTTCTTCTTAGATCTCAAAATATGTTACATACAAGATATACCCAACATCTGCGGCCCTCAAGCCTGGTTTTGATTGTTTTTGGCCATTCTTCTAAGTGGTATAGCCCTGATCTGTCCACTTGCTGTACAGAGGTAACTTGTGGTTGCTGCGATGCTAAACACTGTGACACTGATGTGCGAAATGTCATAATGGTTACCGATGGTGGACAGTGTTTGGTGGAGCTCCCCAATTAAAACAAGCTTGGGAGCAGGAGTGGCATCCACTTCCGAAATAGCTTGCCTCTGGAAACCCTATGAATTTGGAGAAACGATGAAAGTTATACAGGTGTTCAGGTCTTTTTTTCATAGGGTCACCATGAGTTGTCTACAACTCAATGGCACTTAACAACAGACAACACTGGTATGGCTACATTAATAGAACAATAACAGCAGCAATGAAATTCTCTAATGCCTACCTAGATTTCCACGCACAGATATAGAGCTTACTATTCTAACATCTATTTTGAAAGAATACAAGTCATCCATAAAAATCTGTAATAGCATCAGTTGAGGCCACAGCTTTCATACCTCATTACTTGGGAGAAAGTGGATTTTGTTTACTTGATATTTGCCAATATGTTAAGCCACTGAATTACAAATGCTGATTATGTTCATATCAAGTGAAGTTCAAGTGCACATTCGACCTCCTGGCTGCTGGTGATGTCACATAAGTGAGCTTGTTACCTTCATGTTGCTATAGAAAGGAGTTGGGAAAATATATTGATTTTTGTATAATGAATCACAGCCAGTGTATGTTTAGAATTCTGTGTATTCAAATCAAACACCAGCTTCACTCAGCAATAGGCACTGCAAGCAGTGGGCAATAAGATTTATTTCAGTGGCTTCTACTTCTTACTATAAAAATGAAAATATATTCAGAGTAGGAAATTTGAAAAAAATATAGAAAAGAAAGTAAAATTCATAGCTGTGAGCTGCCAGTAACCCAACTCCAATTTGTGGTGCCTTCGTGTAATACAAGGGGCAGCTCCTGGTCCTGGGCCATGGGCGCGACTAGGGTGCTGGCCCGTGCGTGGGCAGTTCTGTCAGCCCACCTCATTGAGAGCCTCCCTTCTTTTCATTGGCCATAAACGTTACTAGACAAGCTGTTCTTTTTTTGGCAATTGGTCTTTTCTTTATGATGCAGACAATAGAACAACAAGAAGCTCCAATTCATTGTCAGTGACTCAAAACCAACTCACTGCTGGCCCTGCAGAGGGCTTTCTGGGGCTGTAAACCATACAGGATGTAATTTCTTGAGAAACTGGTGGATTTGAACTATCTGCCTTTGGGTTGGCAGCATAACTTCTTAACCACGAGATGCCCTGCTATTTCTGCTCTCATGTGAGAACAGGGTAGTAATTGCCAATATAAGCTGTTGTTGCATGCTATTGAATAGACTACATACATCTCATAGTGACCGTATGAGCAACAGCTCTGAACTTGACCCTGTGCTACGCCAACCTCCCCTTCTCTGACACATCTGACCCCATAGTCAATCCATCTCATCCAGGGTCTTCTTCTCTTGTACTTGTACCCTTCCAAGCATAATATCACCCTCCCTAGGACAGACTTGTTTGTTTTCTTGGAGTTCCAGGATATGTTCAATACTCTTCTCCAGCACATACACACACACACACCCTATGATCAACAAATTTGTACCGTGCCCTATCCTGAGCCATTTTCATCTCTGATAAACACTGTTACAGTCATTCTGTCAGTGCATCTTGTTGGAGGTCTTCCTCTCTCTCTTTCCCTGACCTTCTACCTTTCCAAGCATAATGGGCTTGTCTTGTTTTCTTTTCTTTTCTTTTTCACAAGGACTGGTCCCTCCTAAGAACCTGCCCCAATTGTGAGACGAAACTGCTAAAAACACCCAGTCGCACTTTCTCTAAGACATGTTTGCTTGCTCTTTTGGCCATCCAAGGAGTATTCAGTCCACTTCTCCAACACCACCAACTCAAAGGCATCAAGATTACACATATATTTGTTGTCAAAGCTTTGCAGCTTGAATACACTCAGTGAACCTAATTCACAGTGAATGCTGTGTTGTAAGATTTTAAAGGCACTACTATATTATTAAAGACCAGAAATTAAAGCAACAGAATCAAAGGAATTTAATCTCGCTTGCTGTCACTGTAACCTCCATCCCTCCTGTCTTGTACTTCCAGCCAACTTTCCTTCAAGGTGTGAGTCAAGAAATCTTAAAAAATTCTTCATATAGCCAACCCTTTATATCATTTTCCCATTACAAATTCTCTTAACCAAATCACACTCTGGTTAAATCCACAGCATTAACATAGTTCAGCACTGTTTCGGGCCATCACACTGTTGTTGCCAAATGAGTAATACTGTGTTTGCTATTTGTGATTGACAAGAAATTAATTTCCAGTGTCCTATCTGCACTGTCGCTGACAGCTGCTGTCAGTCCCCTTTGCCTGGCAAGCCATCCACCAATCATGCGCAGAAACACAACTATTAATCCAAGTTCCTAAACCTCAGAAAATGTCATTCATTCTTTAATGGAATTCTCATTAACTTTTTAGGGTTTTGCCTTATTTTTCTCAAAAATTGATTTACACTTGGCAAACGAAGATGTTAAATTATAGTCTCTCAGCTGCAATATTTCACATGTATTGCTATTACTTCATGAAAATAAATCTAAGTAATCCTTACCTTCGATGGCCTCACATTTGATACATCCTATCAGACAAGACTGGCTTAAAAATCATCCACACGTCATTTCCTGTAACTTTAATCTGCTTTCTGCGCCATGTCTCTTGGCCACTGTACGTGCCAGGACAGGTCAGTGACAACCTGTCTTGGTCCCTCCTGGTCCATGGTAGGTGTCCCCCTAGTGGTGGATAAAGGAAAGCCACATGATCGCCCCAAAAGACAAACACTTGGGAAAAGGAATTCTCTCCCAACTGAATCAAAATGCTTTTATAAAAACAAATGTAATCTATTTCTCTGATTCTATCTCTATTTCATGCATTATACAGGATATTTTACTCCCTCACAGCAAATCCCTGAGAGTCATTTTTCTGCTCCCTCGGAAAATATCACTTCCAGCTCAAATTGGTTTTACTTTCTCATTTTGTATCTCAAGCTCCCAGCCAGCCACCAGGAAATGTTGTTTGGAACGCGACAGACACCAGAGTGCTCCTTAATTGGGAACAAGTGAAAGCGATGGAGAACGAATCGGAAGTAACAGGATACAAAGTAGGTGATATCATTCGTAGTGTCATCTTGGGCTCCTGGGACTACCCTCTAAGGAGAGCGAGGCTTATGTGAGCTTTTATGACTGTCGTTACGTAGTTTCTAGAACACAATCTTTATTCACAAGTGTCAAGATCCTCCTTTGAAGTAATTTTCCAAAATAGCTTCTTAAATGTATTTTAAAGGAGGTTATTCTGCTAAGTGTGGGGATTGGAGATGAAATGTTCATCAAATTAACCAGTTCATTAAATTGATCAGTCTGTTATTTTTGGCGCTTACCTAGGTACTACTTGAAAACAATTATCGTATTGGCTGTAACTTCTCAGCTCTCATACAAGATCCATATGCTATAAAATCCACCCAAACCAAAATAACTTAGGTTTGTGGTCTTGATTCCTTTGGTTTTCATTTTGTTTAATAAATAGCAAAGCCAGCAGAACTCTTCTATGGAAGCTCTTTGCTCCCCAAAACCTTGAATTCAAGAACCGAGTGGCTCTAATATGTGCCAATCTCTAGTCAAAGAACTGGACAGAACTGTCAATGGAATTTACATTTGAGTGGGCGTCAAAAGATAAAACAAAGGTAGTTTCAGAGAGATAAGTGCTGTGAAGGAAACACAGGTGATGAACATAATAAGTAAGTGTAATTGTTGATGACTTGTAGGTTTTCTATAGGACTAGCAGTCAACATAAGGTCCAAGTGTTAAACACAAACAAAACATCAGCTGAGCTCCTGCTGCCCGTCAAGGAGGACTACATTATTGAGGTCAAGGCCACGACAGATGGAGGGGACGGCACGAGCAGCGAGCAGATCAGGATTCCGAGAATGACCAGTAAGTTGATGAACTGCTCTTTCCTGTGTTATCAGCTCTTGTGTCCTGAACACCTTTTGTGAATCCCTGGCTGCTCCCCTGCCACCCCTTCAGTCAGGCGCTGGGAAGCTCCTCACAGGCAAGCCACGGGGAACCTCTTAAAAGTGATGCAAATAGAGAGAAAGGCTGGCAACCTATCAACACATACTTAGAAAAACTAAAATTTGCCTTTGTCCAACCTATCAAGCTTGATTTTCCTAAGCATTTCGCCAACGCAAGGTTGAACTCACAAACTATTTCTCAAACTTTAATAATCCACTTATTTAGCTCCTAAAAGTTATAGATGAATCTCTTACTAAATCATTGTGGTTTCCCAAAGCAAAAGATACATTAAAGCAAAGAGAATTAGAGTTTCAATTTTCAGGGAAGTTTTACTCAAACTTTTCCCCTGAAAAAAGTAAAAAAGAAAAATTATCTATTGTGCTACAGAAATTATAATGTGGAGTTAAGGGAAGCAGCATATGCAAATGTATTTGATCAGTGATATCAGTAGAAGAAACTATAGCTTCTCTTGTTAATCCCAGATCTGGAGTTGGTGGGCCTCAATTAAAATACTCAAGAGGCTATCTTATCCTTATATGCTATTCTATAGTTCTTCATGACTTAAAAGAAATAAATCTCCCATTCCTTTTAAATGATTGAGTCCTAAACTATAAATCTATAGTACTGAGCTGTTAAAATTCCATTTTGGATAGAAAAACAATTAATGGCATGTTCAGCAGTCAGTGAGAAGTGGAGACGTGGGAATGAGATTGCTCTTCCCCTGAAATCATCAGCGTGATCTTAGACAAAAACAAACAAGGTCAAGGGCATGCACATCACTGTCAAGTTGGAACAGACTCATCGCTGACCCTCTGGGGGGTTCTCAGTGACCGTACATCACACAGGAGGAGACACCCCATCTTTCTCTTACAGAGCAGCTGGTGGATTTGCACTGCCTGTGCTTGGGTTGGCAGTAATGAGCCTTACTCATCTAACCACCAGAGTCTTAACAGTACTGTTTGCCATATGGAAAAGTTTACTGGTCTCAGAAAATATGGAAATGCATTGAGTGCACAGTGAAAATTTTTAATGAACTGACACCCATATTATGCATCTGCACTGTTGTTGTTGTTGTTGTTGTTGTTGTTGTTAAGTGGCGTAGAATCTTAGCGACCCTATGAATGAAAGTCGTGAACACAAAACTTTCCTCTAAGTTTATAGCGTGTCTGGAGGCAAGCTTATTTTGAAAGTGGATGCCACGCCCCTGCTTCCAAGCTTGTTTTATTCGGGAGATCCACCAAAAAATCAGGCCCGAGGGCCCAAAAGCCTTTTGAAATACAAGGCCAAATCCAATGAGCTCACGCCCTGTTGGGAACAGCCACATCCTAGTCTCAACCCCAAACCAGAAAACACACCTCAGTGGAATCTGTTCCACTCATCTTCCCAGCCTGGAAATAGCTTTTCTAAATGCTCGTAAGACAGCTTCCACATCATCACTGCGGATTTTACAAGGAATTGAGCTGCCAATGCAGAGGTCTATGGTTCAAACCCACTCCCAGCTCAGCAGGAGAACGATGGGCAGTCTCCTGTGTGCAGTGAGCTGCCTCTGAACACTTGCTAGAGGGTCAGCTGTGGACTCCTTCCCAGTCAGCAGCACACAACAACCTCAAGCGCTCATGTCATCAGTAGGCCATGAGCTCCACAGAACCCTGATTCTCTCTCTTCACTGTAGACCTCCAGCTTGCAGGGCGCTACCTGGAAGCCACAGTCCCTTACTCAACATTTCTAGAACAACTGAATTAATGACCCAGAAACTTTCCACACACTAAATTCCTTACCTCTTACTAGCCAGAAAGGTATTCTTTTCTGTCATTTTATAGATGAGGAAATAAAGAGTCTATTCTCAAATCTCCTGGTAGATACTGGGTGGTTACTGGATGGAATTCCTCAGCCACTCACTCACTCACTCATGGCCTCTGAGTCGGAACCAACTCAGAACCTAGCAGATGTCCTAACAGGTTCTGGAGGTGGTAAACTGCGTGACAGGATAGTGCGCATCTGGCCCTTGCAGAGCAGCTGGTGGATTTGAACCACCGGAGAAGACACCATCTTTGGGTGTGCAGCACAACTCCCTAACAACTACGCCACCAGAGCGCCTTAAGCCAAGCTGAAACAAGGAGCCTGGAGCTTCACATCTCAGGTTGGCTGCAGACTTCTCTAAACTGGTATGTAATTCAATAGGGCAAAATCCGGGATCAATGCAAGCTATTTTTTAAAAAAGACTTGAAACATGCACTCTTGTTCCTAGAATAGTGTAGCGTATGGAGTCAATACTGCAGCACCGGGAATGGCCTTGTTAAAAGTGGCAGGCGCTGTGGTTTGCAGGCACAGACACTTTTTCGTGTTTCCAAGCTGCTGAGTCAAGAATAGCCTTTTCATCTGACATCTGTGGTCTGCTGAGCCAGCAAAACCCAGTGACTACACAGACCTCTTTATGAAAATGAAGCTTTTATTGATCCATTTTTCAAAAAGATGGTGTTTTATATTAGGGGCAATAGCCTATCTTAAAATATATAAATGTATATGGTGGTTATCTCCTCTCCAGAAACTCCACATGCACACAAATCCAAATTTTCCTAACTCTTACCCAATGAAAGCTTCTTTTTATTAAACCATGGAATTATCTCAGAAGTATTCAGATAGGTTGTTTTCAAAAATACTATTTTTCCAATTTCAAGTAAAGTAAAATAATACTGGATTAAACAAATCTGAAGTTGCTTTCACGCAAAAACTCATTGCCATCAATCGGGAGCCAACTGATTGTGGATCTTCCAGCAGGTTTGCAGGGTCTGTAAGTCACACAGAAGGAGAATACCCATCTTTCTCCTGCAGAGCAGGTGGCAGATTTGAACCATCCACCTTTGGGTTGGCAGTGCATGCAACTCCTCACCCAGTTAAACACATCAATACTTTTTTAGATTTTCTGTGTGTTAGTACATACAACAGGAAGCCGTGGTGGCCCGGGAGGGAGATTTGCCGCCAGGTCAAAGGCAGGTAGTTCGAATCCACAAGCCACTGTGGGAGAGAGATGGGTAATCGCCCATGTAATCAATCACTGCCTCTGAAAAGCCAGGGGAGGCTCAGACACGAGTTACTTCTGACCCAGGACGACACACGTGAGGTGGGTGTTTTGGTTCTGTGTTGGTTGCCTGGCTCTTGTGTTGTTTTTCATACACATACAGAAGCAGCTCCGGTAACGGGGTCAATTGTTAGGCTGCTGACCAATGAGGACAAAGATGGGACAGTCTGCTTCTGTTACAATTTAAAGACTCAGACTTGGAGGAGGGCCACCAAGGGTTGGAATTAACCTGGTAATGGTGGCTTTGTTGCGTATATCCCTAAATCCACGCAGGCATGCTGTCTTATTCCAGTCGCTGCACGACTATTTCACCTGATTCCTTGTACTGGTGCATCTTCACTGATGAGATGCTTTTCTTTCTCCCCCACAGACACGGATGCCAGAGGGTCCACCTCCACCACCTTGAACGTCCACCCCATATCAAGCTCTGTACCCATAGTCCTGTTTGTGATTGTAAATGCCCTGTGGTGATAGTTCTCTTCTTACTATTTACTGGAAAGTCAGTTGAATACAAAAAACAAAAAAGTGCTTTCATGAAATTCAGTGATTATGCATGGCTTTTTTCCAACTCTGTATTTTTAACTTTCTACTTGTTATGGGTAAAATATGGATACAATAAAAGAAAGCAGTAAGTCATTCTAGGGAAATCTCAAATGCCTTAATCTTTACCTGATGAACCAAAGGAATTTACCCATTACTTGTTTCAAACTTTTGATAGAAGTGTGTTCGTAAATTTTGAGTTACACACTGCCTACATAGAGACTCACATTGTCCCATATACAAAAACGCAGGTTTTTTTAGTAAAGTGAAACTCTTCGTTAAATAAGCCAAGCACTGTTTCCCCATCATGACAGCACTGTTTGGAAGACTTTATCAGTACCCATTTAAAAGGGTACATTTTAATACCTTAGGGGGGAAAGGACTGTTTTAAGAAGTATTCCATTTGAATAGGGGTAGCTTCCAACTCAAGAGTGTAATGAAAGAAATGCTAGAAGCACCTCATAAGAAAGGCCTGGCTGACAACACCTGTGGGTCGGGGCTGCTGTGCAAACCTGGAGCCTCCATGGCTCAGAATCACCCTGACAGCAGCACCCACTACAGGGCCTGGGAGTATGATGCTTGGTTTAGAAGGTCACCCTGGTCATGAGACGCAAAGAAATCATGTTCTGCACTTACCTTAATTACTCATCTTTCGAATGTGGAGAAGATGGTACTTTGTCTGCCTCTGCCTCTGAATTATCTGTTAAAAGATAAAGAATTTCATGTGGAAATGTTCTGTTACCTGCACTGGGGCTGTAGAAAGGGTTGGTATGGCTTCACTTAGCCACGTCAGGTCTGGTCACCAGGCACACGTTTTTTTGGAGAGGGAGGGGTGGCAGCTCTGGTTTATTTAGGGTATAGTCCTCATCGTAGAGTTGCTGAGTCAAATGCTATTTCTATTCCCAACTTTATTTCTTTTTTAATTATTATTCATTTTAATGAACGCTTACTTACAGAGACTTTTAGAGTCTGTGTTGCACGTACCAGGCAGTGCTTGCTTGCCCCCCCCCCTTTCTTTTTAACAGGGCTAAAATGGAAATGACCACATTGTACTCTTTTCCAAAAGTTAAAAAGAAATTTCAAAAAAGAATTGTGCCCCCTCTGACACAGGCTTACAGTAGAGAAAATAAGGAAGGACCTGAATCTCAAATCCAGATATTATACAACAGTCACACAATCCTTCATTTCCCATTTCTGATTACATGTAAGGGACCTTCTCTTTTTGGATGTGTTTTTTTTTTTTTTAATGAAATCCAACCGTCTATCTGAGTGAGTCTGGCAGGCTTTTTAGTTCTGAAGTTAAATTTGTAATAGAACTGTGGCGCTGTCGCTGACTTTGATATGTATGACTCAGTCTTTCAATATGTGGTTTTCAAAAGATTGGTGAAGACATGATTTCATAGCAATATGTAAAGAATATATGAAAACTGGCAGATTGAGTGTTAGACATTGAGAAATCAATTTTTACCTCTTTCCTACCAATTTCACATTTTCAGGAACTTAGAACTATTTGCAAAGTTATCTGAATGTGAAACTAACAGTTCAGACACCAAGAAAGATTAAAAATTAGCAAATCTCTGGTAGCACCTTAAAAGTCACATTTAGAGGTTACACTTAAGGTAAAGTCAATTTACACAAAGAGAGATGTTTATAACTTTCTCTGTAAGATCTGTATATATTGTACATATTTAGAAAAATTATGAATGCTTAGTAGATTTCATATGACGATTGTTATTTCCCATAAAAAAGTGGAGAAATGCTTTCTCCAAAATACCTTGTCTTTTATGCTACATGTAATGGATGGTACCTTTTTATTATTTAGTAATTCCTAGAATATGTTCCTGTACATTTAATTTTTAAGATGGTTGTTCTATGGTTTCACATTGTTTCTAGCACTATATCTCCATGAGATGTGTACTTTGTTTCATATTGAAAAGTATACGATTTAACTTTCAACTCCTGTGTGTGTATCCTATGGTTATCTGTATGTATTATTTTCTATTATTATAATAAAATTTATGATAAAATGTCCATGCACTGTTAATTTTGGTGTCATTAAAAAAATCTACAAGTAGAAGGGAAATGCAGTGTATAGTGGGCTTAATGAGACATTGTAATTAGTTGCATTAATCAGTTGAATTAGTGATATAAAACAAAAGGTATATGAGTGACAATATAAGGCACTTTTAAAAAAAAATCTCAAAGTAGGAGTATACTGTAGCAGTTATGCTGATGTGCGGTCTTGTTTTTCGGTTATCTTGTAGCTTTTCTCTATCTTTTGATGAGACGTATTAAAAAGTAACTCCATGCTGACTCAGTGAAGTCAGCAGTTTGAGACAATGACCCCCATACTAGAGACATTTTAAGGATGGAGAAGAAAGCAAGCAGAAAAGTTTCATTTGTAGAAGTGAGGTATTTCGTTTGTTCTGATTTTATTTTATTCACAGTGACTGCACCAATGTATGTGATTACAACTTTCTTGACAATAATATTTTTACCAATTTATCAGGTTCCTAATCATTAGGTTTCTCACTGGTGTGATTGAGGTACTCACTGGTATCAGTGTTAAAGTAATAGTTCCTCTTTGTGGCCTAACAAAGTTGAAAAAAAGGATGCATTAGAAAAAATATTTATTTTTAATAAGCAATCCAAAACAGCCTTGTTGATCTAATCAACTGTTGGTGTTATATGCCATCGAGTCACTTGCAACTCATAGCAACCCTGGGTACAATAGCCCTAAAACCTGCTCTATCCTGTGCCAACCTTACTGTCCCTGACACACCTACCCCTATTACACCAGTCATTGAATCAATCAATCTCATCGAGGGTCTTCCCTACTCACGCTGTCTCTCCACCCTCCCAAGCATGGCATCCCTCTCCAAGGACTGGTCCCTCCTTGAAACACGCCCACTGCTTGCCTCCAAGGAGCAGCCTGGTTTCCACTCTCTCCAGGGCAAAGCTGTCTGTTCTCCTAACCCTCCATAGCATATTCAGTACTCATCTCCAGCACCTCAAAGGCATCAATTCTCTGCCATCCCTACTCATCGTTCTCCTGATGCATCGCAGTAATTGCAAAGACTATGGCCTGGATCAGGCGTAGCTAAAATAATTCCCTTGTATTCTTACATGATAGTTTAAAATTCTGTCTCAAGGTAGGAAAAACGAGAAAAGCAGGTGTACTGTGTTGGGGTAAGTGTGGGTGTGATTTTAAATCCAAGTCTGTTATAACGGACATGCTGTTCCCACTACAGACACTGAGTCAATTCCTGAGAGAAGAAAGTGCATCCCCTGGACAAGCACCATCTTCAGCGCAATGCGGCCACTGTTACAGTCACCTGGGCATACTAAGATTGCCGCTCAGCTTAGTGTGTTTATTTCTTAGCGCTCTGTGGGGCAAAAGTCTGTGATCCATAGGGTTTTCGCTGGCTAATTTTCATAGGATCGCCAAGCCTTGTTCATTGGCTAGTTTTCATAAGATCATCAAGCCTTCTCCCCCTGCCCCAATCTTTATTTGGAACCTCTGCCTCCGGTGACTGCTACTACAGTGTCACAGCAACGTGCACACCACCACAGGACCGTGACCTGACAGGCCAGTGTGTAACTAGTGCGTTAGTGCACTCACAGTGAGGGAGACGCAGGGACACACAGCTAAGCACTAGACCGTGCACTCAGCCCTGTGTCCTTTCTTCCAACCCGGGCTGACTGACATGGCAGAATCAAAGGGTCACCTCTAGGGTCACACTGCTTCAGGCTGAGTAATGACTCTGAGCCTCAGTGCTTCAGTCTGCAGAACGGGGATCATACTTGTGTTACCTTCATGGGCAAACACCACCTGGGGTCCAACGTGCTTAAAACTGGAACTGAACCAGCCTGCAGAACGTGAGTGAAGCTCAGGGGTCCTGGAAAGGCTGCTTGAGGCTCTGGGTGTCAGAAAATGCTCGAGCTTTCTCTGTTTCCTCTCTTTGAGCTGAGGTTTTGGTACCACTTACATGCAGGCTGGAAGTTAAATGAAATGACATACGCATGTACTCCAAGCCCTGCTCCTATCACTATACTCTGTATCTTATTGGGAGGAAAGTCAACGTTGGAAGACAGATGAGCATGCCGAAGGTGACTGCTTCAATTTGATTATAGCTTTTCTTACATCTCACTCTATGGGGGGAGGGGGGTGTTACACAACTCCAGGAGTTCTTTTCGTTAATGTAAAAAAAAACCACAGCAAACCACCTCAACATTTTACTGATTTGCATACAATCATTCATACACATTGCATTTTATTCAAGCACTTTGTACTTCATAGTTATTCATAATGCCAGGAGTTCTAAAGGGGTACAATGATGATTTTTTTTGAGAAATAGGTCTTTATGAATGCTAGAGAACATTTCTTCACTTGCGATCTTCCAGACTCTTGAGTTAGAGCCTTTTGCATTCTCTCAATCAATCCTCAGCAGTCTTCTGATCTAGGTTCTGTTATTAGGTACATTTTAAAGATGAGTCAATAGGTTTAGGATGACTCAATGACTTGCCCAAGGTGGAGTGATGGGATTCGAGCCGAGGCTTCCCAGCTGAGACCGTGAAGCTCATGGTTAATCTGGTGCTACTGCTCCTCCTTCAGATCAGATCCATCAAATGATAGAGGTTCTAAAGATTTGCTAAACAATTTGCCCTATGCTTTATTCTGCTTCCACTGTTGATAATAATTAAGATTGTAATTGTTACATGATCTCAAGTTGACGCCAACTCACAGCATCAGTATACAGTGGAGGGGACTCTGCTGATGGTCGGGCACCTTCCTCACAATTTCTATTGGCACTGCCCCCACTTAGTCCTTCTAGTTAAGGATCTTGCTCTTTTTCAAGGCCCCGTTTCTTTGTTAAGCGTGATGTCTTTCCGCAAGGACTGGCAACGTTCCACCTTCCTTACTTGTAAGG